TATATATATATATATATATATATCAGTCTATGTATCTACTGACGCACAGAAAACCACACATACGTAGTTAATCTTTAATGAATTGACTCTTAGAATAATATTTCCAAACTCACTGTAAAAAAAAAAATTAAACTTAAGTGTGGCCCTTTTTTGTTCAGCAATGAAACTGCCTTTAAATCTGAAGTATTTATTCTGGATTCTTTAGTCAATTAACTATTCAGCCTCGTAGATAAAGAGAAATAAAACATATTTCTGTTTTTTTTTCTTTTTTGTTAAATTATTTTACCTTTTCTGTTTCTTTTTTTAATTGTCAGCTAAAAAAAATGACTTGCAATCTGTTGTAAACGGGGGCAAAGAATGGCTTGTTAATTTTAATGCCTCTTAAATGAAACTGCTCGCTTTTAATCGCCAGATAGAACTCTTTTTTTTTTACCTTTTATCAGCATGGCTACTGCTAAGCTCCAGGAGATTGAACCATTGCGCCACCCCGTGCTAACGTTTCCCACTGACATGAAATGGGAAGAGTGAATCAAATGCTGGGTCTACTGCTAGGCAAGTTGGTTCACTGTGTCGCGTGAGACAATTTTTTTTCCAGAATCTACCTTACACATTCATCCATGTATTGAACCTTGCTCCCACATCTGATCTGATGCTTCTGCTATGTATTTAGATATTCTTAATAAAATACAAAGAATCTGCAATGTTATCTCTTCTTCCATCACTTTCCCTGTGCTTATTCTATAAATATTTTCATGGTAATTGTTCTGATGGTTTTTTCTTATACGACTTTAAGCGCAGTACTAGATTGGCGGTAAGGTCTCATAATTTTACGGCTGAAATGTCGGGATGCAACCGTAAGTTCTATGCTAACCGTTTCTTCTGTTGCCCTTCTAAGTTGGGGAATTCTCTTCCGTCTTCTTGCTTCCTTGTCAACTTTGATCTCCAAAAAAATTAAATGCAATGTCAACCGCTAAATTCTGTCTTAATTCTTTGTTCTCTCTCCTTAAGAATGTTTTTCTTTTTCTCGTATTACTTCACACTCTGTAACCACTTTCATCTTAGTGGCTTTATTGCTTTGCTTGGGACGAAATGATTTTTTAGAAAAGCATGCATACCAAATTACAGTGTCATCTTGTACAGCTAAATAATACTTATATAGTATTTGCCTACAGCCATTTCTGTAATATTGTCTGCGTGATTTTTCGAGTAAAAACATTATTCATATATTAAACGCATTACCTTGACAGTTGTGTGTTGCGCTCCAAAAGAAACATATAACTTCATCCACTCAAGGTGACAAACGAGCAATAAAACCCGACTTAGTAATCATTTCTTTTCATTTTTCTTTTTCTTATCTTGTTTTCTTCTTTTCAAAACTTTTTTCGATATTTATTCCACTTTTGTTGTTATGAAGAAATTAACAAATACCTAATTGATCGCTATATATATATATATATATATATATATATATATATATATATATATATATATATATATATATATCCTAACATCTTTCACAGAGCACACAGATACTTCACTCTGGTCGATATTTGTCCACCTCCCAACAGAAGAACAATGTGACACCAGGATAGTTTAACGTGGGGTACCCATGCGAGTAAACAGGGTCAAGGACCAAAATTGTTCATACTTCAGAACCAGTGGTACGCTGGCATTGGTAATTCTAATATTAACCGTTTCCTTATAAGGAAACATTCGGCATTCATTGAACGAACAGCCAGAGTAACTGCTGTTTTAAATTTATAAATTCTTTTTTTTTCTTTCAGGAAAACAGTTTTTACAATTTCCCTGTTATCGCTCTTTCTAATGGCTATGGAATTTCCTTCCTATACTTTTAATGACCGTAATCTGTAATGTAACATCTTGCCTATGTCATTAAATTCTCTTCGAGGTACATGTCTTGTCTATTCTAGTCGTTCTTGCTGTTCAAAGTTGTTAAGCGATATGGTTTCTGTTATTTCGTCCAGTTCTTTGTTGGTGATTCCATGTCGCTATAGAAAGGTTCCCTCTCTAAGACCTACAGGATTCGTTCCCTGGAACTCTTTCGTGCAATGGGGGAGGTTTCGTCGTCGTGATGGAACAGGCATACTTCAAAACTTTTCCGTGAGCTAGCCGAAAATGAAAACGGCAATGAGAATTATGCCTAACAAAAAATGTTAGTCTGATAAGAAAATCTAGACATGTCTTCTGTCTCTACTTTTTTGATTTTAGTAAAAAAGTATACTTGATGTCTCTAAGGACACATGGCCCAGATGATAAAAGTTTTGGTTAAAGTAATCCAGTAACTTAACCCAAAGAATTATGAGTTTCTATACCTGGCCACAGAACAGGTGAGAAAAAATTTAGAGAGTTGTGTTACTAAAGGAAATTAACTGAAAAGGCTTGGCACGTGGAACTAGAAAATTCTACCCCTGCGGACTAAATAAAAGGTTCAGTTCGAAATTCCAACGTATGTTACTTGAAGAAGTTCGGAGCATACAAC